AATATGGTTTAAAAAAAAAAAGTATGCTATATGAGAAATGATATATATTTTATTCGTCAAATTATTATTTTGGATTCCCAAAAAGATGACATTTGCTAACTTCTTTTCCTTTCATGTTTTACCCCATTGTAAGAATGGTTGGTGTTTGAACCATGATTTGTGATGAATGAGCAGTTTGAAGTGCAACCACCTAAGAATCCCGTCAAACATATTTGTTAACTTAAATAATTATGTATTTTAACACTGTTCTTTAAAAGTTTCGCTATTTTACATCACATAATTTGGATTTTCTTTCAACTTTTTTAAAAATGTATATATTTAAGGTCTAAATAATGTTTTATGTAACATGTAAATATATTATATATAGAAATTTGGTAGTTAAATAAAAAAGTCATTTGGATTTATAGATTATTATTAGGGTTGTAGTTTTTTTGTTGGGAAAAGTAACCAAAAGTGTCTGTTGTCATGAGAAGGAGAAAAAAATGTCACTTTCTAGTCCTCAACAAATTTGATTCCATCAGAAATTATTTTCTTTTCTGTTTTTGCTAAAAGAAATTTTAATGACATTAAAATTCTTGTTGCCTGAAAAAATTAAAATCGTGAGAAAAAGGAACTAAAGTCTAATTCCAATTAGTTTAGAACACCCCAACTCCATCAAGTTTGTTTTTAAAGGAAAAACAAATTACAACATAACATGATACCATACCAAACTAATAAAATAATTCTAGACATTGAATGGTGATACCACATTATTTCTTCTTCGTAAACATTGTTTGTTCGCACCATTATAAATCAAAACTTAAATATCTAATAAATAAAGAAATATAAAAACAGTCTAATCTACCCCAAGTTAATCAGCTTGGTCGGTTCCCATTATTCAAAAACCTATATAAAAAATGTAAAAAACTAGTTATAAATGATCTTAATAATAACAAAAACCAAAGAAAAAAAAACAAAGCCCAAAGCCTCGTCACTTCTGTCCATAAATACCCTTCACCGACTCACAATCTTACCACATCAA